GCTGCGTCCCTCGGACCAGAGAGCAGGGGTTCGGAGCCCCGTGCTCTCCCGCCCGATGCGGCGCTACCTGCCCCGCATCCCAGGGAGGACCCCACGCCCAGCCCCGGGAGTGAGTGGCGCACACAGGATTTGAACACCTGCCGTTAGTTAGGTGTGGGCCTCCGGGCTGGCCGCGCAGATGTTGAAATTGAGGCTGGCCGGATCAGGGTCTGTCCAGAACGTTCCTTGTGCACCTCAGTGCCTGTGCTGGAGGATAATTAGGGAGAATTGTGTCATTTGCTTCTGGCTGCTGTTTGGCTCCCACGGCGGGGCAAGAGACCTTGGCCCAAAATTTGACCACAGGCACTTTTTTTGTGTTCGGGTTGGAGTAAGCATTGGTGCCTGCCTTTCTAATCCTAGCTACTCGGGAGGCTGAAGCAAGAGGATCCAAGCTCTAGGCCAGCCAGGGCAACTTAGTGAGATCCTGCCTGGAAATGTCAAAAGGGTTGGGATGTAGCTCAATGGAAAAGCGCGCCTGGCACCAGGCCTTGAAATAACCTGGTGAGTCCTCAGGGTCCCCCCTTAGCCCCATCTCACAGGTGAGGACACAGGTGCGGGCAGATGTCATAGCCAGTAGTGGCTCCGAATTGAGGCTGTGTGGGTCACAGGTGTGGCCACCACACCTTCCAGTGGCCTGGCAGCTGGGGCCCCTGGGCAGACACCTGAACTCTGGGGTAGAGGTCCAGGTTGTCATCCAGCCTCCATTTACCCATAATGGAAACAAAAGTATTAGGCAAAGCAGTCGCCATCGCCCTGCCCCAGAATTTACACTTGGCACTGACCAAATTCCCCGCCACCCACCTGCTAGTGCCCACCGCTGCTCCTGTGGGCCCTGCCCAGGGCCTGGCACCCTCTCCTGCTGTGTCTGGCTCCCTAGCAAAGAGCTGGCCAGGGGCAGACTGCTCCTGGGCTGCTCCCTGGTGGGAGGGGTTCAGTCCTTCTGAGCTGAAGCTGAGGTAGGAAGGTTGCGCCAGGTGTCACTGGCTGAAGGACTTGTCCAGGGTCTGGGTGTTCCAAACAAAGGATGGAGCAGGACAGACAGCAGCAGGAACCAAGATTTACTTGAGGGAAAGACAAGATCCACTCCCCAGTGGGCCAGCACAGTGTTTGAGTCTTAGGGTTTGGAACGGGACTGAGGGCTTGGTCTGAGCTCTGACTCCGGCCAGTGAGCGGCCTGGCTGAGCCCCTCTGTCTGGAGGCGTTTGTGAGTCTGGGCAGAACTGCACAGAACTGCGCAGCATCGGAAGCCCAGGGTGTCAGACCCGCACAGCCAGTGACGCGGTGATCAGGGTCCCAGGAGCCCCCTGGGCGCGTGCACCACACGCCATGAGTGAGCTGAGTCACCTGGCTGCCTTTCCCAGCGGTGCAGACCTGGCGTGGGCTAATGTCTGACTCCCAGTGGGTCCCAGGAAGCCGCTCAGAGGCGGCTTCCTGCCTTCCCAGTGGTTTCCTTGGTTACCTGATGCCTCAGTCTCACTCAGGGCAGCTCTGAGGCAGGCCCACCTTCCCTTCTTTCCCAGCCAGGTCCCTAGCTCCCTCCTGCCCTGCCCTGTGCCTCCCCGGAATGACTATGTATGTTTCCATAGTGATAAGGGCCAAGCTGGAGGTCAGCTGGGATGGTGTTTACAGGGTGTGACCACACTCCATTCCAGAGCGGGTCGTGTGGTCGGGAGGAGCGTGAGGCTGACGCCTGACCTCTGTGAGCCTCAGATGGCAGGCTGGATAGTGGGGCTGCATGTGGAGAAGACAGTGGGGCGCTCACCTGTGGGCCCAGAGGCAGCATCCTGGGAGGAAGGTGAGGTGACAGGGTGCAGCCCTGGAGCAGGCCCTTCTGCCCTGGGTTACAAACACACGTGCCCCACCTGGCTCCTGCTTCCCTGCAACTTGGTGTCCCATCTACAAATGTGTGTACATGCGTATGTGTGAGAGAGAGTGATAGATCATATAAACCATGGGCTCCTGCTGGGCCTCAGCCACGCCGTGTCCCCAGCCTCCTTCCTCCTCCCACGTGGAGGTGAGGCCAGAACCCCTGCCTCCCCCTTCCTGGGCTTGGGGTAACTCTACCACGGTCAGCTCTCGACACTGGGAGACTCGCCCATCAGGGACGCCTCTGGAATAACAGCTATTTGCCGAGGCTGCACTGCCCGGAGGAGTCTGTCTGTATCACATCCCTCCTCCTCCCCGCAATGTAAACTGGGGACCCGGGGTGTTTGCTGTGCACGCTGTGTTGCCAGCCTGGCCACAGTGGGCACTCTGCACGTATGCATGGTATGCACAGGCCTTGCAGCGGCCCTAGAGGAAGGGAGGTCTGGGGTTTGCCCTCTTTCATCAAAGAGGAAACCAAGGTCGCCTGGGTGATGCACGGCTGACCTGTGGGGCTGGTGTTTGAATTGGGGGTTCAGGGTCCAGAGCCCGCACTTTACCGCGATGCCGCGCCTGCTGGCTGAAGGGCTGGGTGTCAGGGGTGGCAGCAGCAGCTTCTCCCTCCACACCACGGAGTCGTTCGGGGCCGGGAAAGTGAGCGCTCACTCAGTTTTGGGATTCACACGCTGTCTCTGTACCTGTGCTAACAGACTTGGGATGGTGGGGACGCTGCATCACCGGCCTCACGGGGCCATTTCCTGCTCTTTCAGTGCCCGCAGAGCTCCTCTTCCTGCCTCCCAGCAGCACAGGAGACCCGTCCCCCGGAAGCTCCATGATCTGGACCCACAGCCGCGGCCTGGCATCTCTGCCCATGCAGCTCAACACGCCGGCCCGGCCGGGGGACTCAAAGGAGCAGGACACAGAGGAGCCCAAGGCAAGTGCAGCCCTCAGGCTCACCAGTTCGTGCGAGGTTCCCATTTTCCAGAAATATCTGCTGACCATCTTGCCCCGGGCAGGCGGTGTCACCTCACTTTCTACAGGGCATGCAGTGGAGGCCTGGAGACCTGCAGGAGCCTGCCCGGGTCACACAGTGGCTGCTGAGTCTGGCACCAGGGCCTGGGGCAGCAAATGAGGGGCAGGGTTGAGGCAGTGCTGGCCCCAGCCTGGGCCCCGCCCTTTCTGGGACTGGGAAGGCGCTGCTGAGGTCCCTGAGAGGGAACCAGAAGGGTGCTGTGGCTGGGAGGGGATGGGTCCTGGTGAGGTCCCCTTTCCTGGCCTGCAGACATCTGCCCTCTCTTCTCACTGTGTCTTCTTGTGTCCTGGAGAGGAAGAGAGAGAGAGAAAGAAGACAGAAGAGAGACAGAGACCATATTAGGCCACTGTCCCACATACAGGATTATTTCCCTTAATTACTTCCTGAAGACCCGGTCTCCAGGTTCTGTACAGTCACTGGGGGTTAGAGCTTCAATGTCTGGCTCCTGGAAGGTGCACTTCAGCCCAGAGCACAGTGCCAGCTTAATTCCAAAGTAAATAAATTTGAATCCTAACTCAAGTCAGGGCCATGATATCTAAAGCACATCCAGGCTTCAGCAGTACTCCTGGTGCCTGGGACAGTGGGGGGGTCATCTTGTAACATACATCCTCACTGTTCTAGAACAGACCTGTAACCCCTGCATTCTGGGAGGCTGAGTCAGGAGGATCGCAAGTTTGAGCCCAACCTGGGCAACTCAGTGACTAAGCTACATGCTGTCTCACAATTTTTTAAAAAATATATAAAAAGGATAAATTTAGGGTGCAGCTCAGTGAGTGTGAAGGGTTCCCTTTCCAGTACTGCAAAACAAACAAAATATCTTCACCATGCATCTGAGGAGTGGTGGGCACCTTTGAGGGAGCCATTGCCCACATGGAAATAGCAGCACCTGGGCGTGGATAAGGAACTTGCCTGTAAAACCTACAGAGCACGAGCGTTTCTTAACCGTCATTTGGGCTGGGTCACAAGTGAGGAACGTCATGCATTGCGTGGACTTCTGCCTCCGAGCACGGCTCAGTGCCTGTGAGCCCTCGGCTTGCCTCCTGCGTGGGTATTGCTCCTGTTAAGGAGAGGGACGATGGTCGTGTGTCCGTCTCGGCCTTTTGTCATTTTGCAGTTGGAAGCCATGGGAGTAAAGGGGCTGATGGTCACAGGTGGCCCACCTGGGGCCAAGCCGTGACATCACAGCAGCCCCGCTGCCTCCCAAAGTAGGTTTCTTCGTGAAACAAAGTCCTGCCTGTAGAGCCGGCACCCTACACGCACCGTCTGTGCGATGTTCGTGTCCGAGATCCGCGCTGGTGGAGAACCCTATCGGGATGGAGTCTTCCTCCTCCAATGGTGTCTGCCATTGGTTTTCTGCCTTGCTGCAGACTCCACTTTTATTGAACCCATCTGTCTGGCTCAGCACATCCTCTCTCGCCCTTCCCTTTCTAGCTGATGTGCCCCCATGCGCAGAGTGCTGTCCACGCAGTGTCTGCCTGCTCTGTCAGAGCAGAGGCTGTGCTGTGCACACGCTGCACGAGACATTCAGCAAGAACAAAGGCTCCGCAGGAAAAAAGCCCTGCAGCCTCCCCAGTGCCTTTGTCTCAGTCACTATGGTTTCTGGGCAAACTCACTCAGGAAGGACTTTTATTTGAATAAAGAGTCTGAAACAAAGGGCGGAGGATGGCTGAACAGTGGCAGGCACATTCATTTTGGTTTGTGACTGTTCCCACCAGGGTGTGGAGAGTTTGCAGGAGGAGATATTGAAACATTCCTTAAAACCACACAAGAGGCACAGAGGACTAAGTAGGAAAAGAGGACGGGATGACCTGGCCCATGTACCACCTGTGTCCAGGCGATTGTGGGGTCTCCAGCAGAGGTGCCAGGTCTAACAAAGCCGTGAATGTGCTGGCAGTCAGTGCCCGTCAGGCCAAGTCACATGTTCCGAATGACTTCCTGTGATGCGGGATTACCAAGTGGGCAGGGGAGGGTCAGGTCCAGAATGTGCACTTGTGAGAGCCCACAGTGGCTGTGCACATAGTCAAGGGGATGGCTGCTCTCAGGAGTCCTTGGAGGAGAGCAGGGCTGGCTCCGGCCCGGGGCTGTCCGTGGTGCTGAAGGTCTCTGCGCAGTTCAGTGTGGGCCCCGTCTGCACTGGAGTGAGACAGGCACCAAGGGGCATCTCCTGTGTGCTGGCACCTGCTCCCTCTCCGGCCACCTCTCTAACATGGGGTCACCGCCTGGCTCTGTGCCACTGCCCAGCCCAAGCTCTGCCCTCCTGCTCCCTAAGCCCAGATGCCCCGCTGCCCTTCCATCCCTGGCAGTTCCACCCTGGCAGTGGCTTTCTCTGCATCTGCTGCCTGGCAAGGCCGAGGTGGGTGTGTCTGTGAACAAGCTGAAATCCGGGAACCAAAGTTTAAGACAGAGATTTGGAGGCCACAGTTTAACGACTCTGCACCATTTTTGGCACAGTGAGCACTTGGGTTAGGGAGAACAGGACGCTCAGGCTGGTGTCTGTAGCCTCGGGCCCTGCAGTGAGTGCGTGGGTAGTGTCGCCTCCTCCACTTGGCTGAAGCCGTGGCCTGTGCTTCCGCAGCCTGTGGGCCCCGAGCACAGCGCAGGTCCCGTGTAGCTGTGGCAGCCTGCTTGTGTTGTGCACTTACTGGGTTCCCAGCTCTGATCTCGGGACTGCGTGGCTAATAGCACAGCTTGTCCTCATTGCACCCCACAAGGTAGGGACAACTGTGATCCTCACTGTGCAAACGGAGAAACTGAGGCACGGAGCGATTACTAATTTGCCAAATGCCGCACTGCAGGTAAGTGGCAGGGCCGACGTGCAGACCCCAGGCAAGTGTCACTCAAGCTCACTTGTCGACCCCCTTCCCGCTGTGCCCCTGCGCCGAGGCTGGGCCTATCCCCTGGTGAAGCGAGTGGCTTCCCCCACGGCTGCTTTCTTCACTGTGCGCAGTAACCATTGTGCAGCTTGGACAGGAAGGGAAGTCCTGGCTGCCACGCCTGCTGGGTGATGCTGGGCAGCCATTGCATCTCTGTCCGTGCCTCAGTTTCCCCTCCAGGCAGATACTCCCTCCTGCTCTCTGCAGAACTGAGAGGAGATTAGGGGCCCCCTGTGCGCAGAAGAGCCTGTCACTAAACTGTCATTGCTGCACATTATGGTACGCCTATGCTAGCGGCCTATGACAACCTAGAGGCCCTTCTCTGTAATCTGTTTCAGAAACGGAAAGGCGGGTGGCCCAAAGGCAAGAAGAGGAAGCCCCCAAGGGACCTCTCTGTGCCCCGTGCACCCACGACAGGGTAAGATTCAGGAAGAGGGCACTGACCAAAGTGCAGGTCACAGTCAGGGCTCAGCTTTCCTGTGAGTTGAGGGCCCCCCGATCTGGAAGGGCCTCACACAGCAGACAGCTCGGCTGGGCTGCTTGTTGTTGAGGCCACAGATCGGTCTGGTGCTGGGAAGACTGGGCCTGGGTCACAGATGGGGGTGGGGAGCTTGCTGACAGTGGGGTCTGGGCCTGGGTTATGGGGTGGGGGGATCCTCAGGACAGGGGACTGGTTCCCATTCCAGGCCGGCAGCACAGGTGCCCCTCGGCCATGGCCAGCTGGGTCACCAAGCCTCCACTCCCCTTCCCAGCCTGGTCCTCAACCTCCGCATCTTGAGCTGCAGCAGTGAGGCTCCAGCCGGCCACTGTCACTGCCCTGAGGGTCCCTTGCCCCAGTAGAAGGCTGTACAGTGTCCTCTTTGCCTCAGGGTGCAGCTGAGGGGCTTTCTGGGTTCTCCTGCCACCCTGGGATGGACTTCTGGTCTGCGGCTGCTGTGACTGCTGCCTTCCCCTGTCTCTCTCTCAGAATGCAGGCTTGGTTGTGAGGGTGGGAGGGCGAGCGCCCAGAGCGCCAGGCTGCAGCAGGTGGCGTTGTGTCCATGATACAGAGGGGAAACTGAGGCCTGGGTGGGCTGAGTGGCTTCCCGTAGCTCTGAACCTGTCCTCTGCACTGCTGGGCCGCCCTGTCTGTGCACGCCTCCTGTGCCCTGCAGCCTTGGCGTTTCGGCGCTGGGCTCTGATGCGAGTCATCCAGAAAAGTTCCACCCTCCCTAGCCCTGACCTCCACTGCGCTGCTTAGACTGAAAATGTGGGCAAACCAGACCATGGAGCCCATGCCAGGCCCGCTGACTCCTCCCAGCGGCTGCCTGGGCCATGCGTGTCTTTCCTTCCTGAACAGGTATGTGATTTTCCTAAATGAACAGAGAAGCCAGCTGCGGGCCAAACACCCCAACCTGCCTTTCACGGAAATAACAAAAATACTGGCTGCCCAGTGGGCGCAGCTGTCTCAGGAGAGAAAGCAAGTAAGTCCTTTCCTTCCCAGTGCGCAGAGGGACCCAGGTGCAAAGGGCCTGGCAGCTGCAGCCTCATCCATCTGCCCACACTGAAGGCCAGGGAGTCTTTCTAGACGGCAGATGCATGGCGCCAATAGCTGATTCCCCTTGGTTTTTGTTTGTTTTGGTTTGGTTTTGTTTTTTTGATTTTGTGTTTTTGTTTTTGTTTTTTGAGCACTGGGAACTGAACCCAGGGCCATCACATTGAACTACATCCCCGGCCCCTTTTAAAATTTTTATTTTGAGGCAGGATCTCGCTAAGTCACTAAGTCGTCCAGGCTGGGCTCATACTTGTGACCCTCCTGCCTCAGCCTCCCTCAGTGCTGGGGTCACAGGTGTGCACCACAACACCCAGCTCCCCGTTGCTTTTGTAGCACCTCCTTACCAGTTAGGCAGAACGGCCAGTCCCTGGAAGGTGGGTGAGTTGTGTAAGAAGCGAGGAGGTTCCAGAAGAGGGAGGGAAATGCATTTTCCCCACTTGCAGAGCTTATGGGCAGCACATTCGATACGGTTTTGTTCACTTAAAGAAAATATTCCTGGGGGCACGCGGTGTGCCTGGCCCCGTTCCAGCTGCCGGGGACACAGCCGGGAGCAGGAAGATGCAGTGTGCTGTCCTGGAATGGAACGGGGCGGGGGGACATCCCAGTGCACCGCAGCAGGCCAGTCTGAGCGTCTGAGGGCAGCCTCTCCCCTCCGGGGAAGCGTGTGCCTACGGGGTGCAGAGCCCTTCAGCACGGAACACAGCACTGCCCCTTGTCACTTCACCGCCCCTGCCCCGCTGCCAGCCCCCTTCTGATCAGGCCCAGCCTGGCCCAGTGTCACCTCTTCCAAGAAGCCCTCCCATGCCCTTGGTGAGGACATCTGGGCCCAAAGCCTGCACCTTCCCTTGTACCGGTCCTCCCGTTCAGCCTCCTTTCTTCCAGTCAAACACAAAGCCCCGAAGTGAGCATCTTTAAGTTTCTGCACATACAGCTTGTTCCAGTTATAAACTCGTTAATGTGAGCTACTACATAGAAATGCTGGTGGTAGGGGGTCAGTGAGTCACACAGGGCCACACGCACACACTGAATGTGCGGCACATCAAGCCGTGCTACTGAGATTAAAGCCAGCTGAGGACAGTTAATCTTGCCTGCCCCGGGACTCAAGCCCCTAGCATTTCCAGACCCACTGGCAGAGATGGAAGACAGCTGGCTTAGCAGATTCACGGGGTGACCTCAGAGCACAGGGGAGCACCCAGGTAGTGAGGCGCAGGCCTCCCGTCTGAGGTAGGGGCTCTGACCACCGTCACACTGCAGAGGTCCTCGCCGCTGTGCTCCAGAGCCCGGTCCTAGGAGCTCTGCCTGACGCCACTGTGAGCTGCTGTTTAGTTGCACTTGATGAGGTGCTCGTTTATACCTGATACTCGATGCCAAAGCATTGCTGCGACTCACTTATCCGGCAGGCACCCTTGGGGAGGACCTTTGCCGTCCAGCCCCGGTCCCTGTGTGACCCATCCAGGGCAGGGGGCCTGGGACTTCAGTCTCTTACAGGAGCTGGGGCCTCCTGGAGGCAACCAGCACAGCCTGGGGACATCAAAGAGGGCTCCCTGAGGACATAGCAGTTCTGTGGCGGGTCTGGAAGGACGAGTTGGATGTGGCCTAGGGAGGCAGTGAGTCGGAGTTACTGATGGAAGGGAACACAAGAGGGTAGGACAGCAAGGGGAGCATCCCGGGCTTGGGGCTCGGTCCCATTCCTCTCTGTGTCACGGGGCCCAGCTCAGGTCCGCATGAGGGAAAGGCTAGGGTTGGAGCTCAGTGTGAAGGAACAGCCCCCTAAAAGTCCAGTGTCCTCAGCTGGACATGGGGGTGCACACCTGTAATGGCAGCACTCTGGGAGCTGAGGCTGGAGGGTTGCAGGTTTGACGGAGCCTGGGCAACCTAGTGACACAGACCCTATATCAAAATTTTAAAAAATAGGAGCTGGGATTTAGCTCAGTGGTTCTGCCACCTGCCTCGCAAGCGCAAGGTCCTAAATTCAATCTCTGGTAAAAAAAAAAAAAAAAAAATTTTTTTTAAATAAAAAAGGGTTGAGGTTGGAGCTGAGTGTGAAGACCCTGGGTTCAATCCTCACTACTAGAAAGAACAAAAAAAAAAACAACAGTCTAATGTCCTCCAAGAAAGAGCTGCTAGCACTGCCTTCTCTGTGGTCCTCAGGCCACACCCCAAAGAATCACAGGGAAAGTTTCTGATTTCTACAAGTCCATAAAACAAGGAATGAACTTATCAGAAGGTAGTGAGGCTCCCATCCCTGGGGGTGGGCAAGCAAAAGCTGAGCATTGCTTCTTCTTGAGACATGTTAAACAGCCCCTGGCTGGTTGGCCAGGAAGACACCCAGGCCCCAGATCAGGAGGGCCTCAGATCTCTGTCCCCTCCTTCCAGAGGTACATTTACGCGGCCGACGAGGACAAGCAGCGTTACATCCGGGAGCTGCAGGCCTACCAGAGCTCCGAGGCCTACCGGGCCTTCCTGCGGAGGCGGGCGGCCCACAGGGCTCTGTGCGGTGAGTCGGGCAAGCTGGGCCCCCCGTGCGAGCCCACCAGGGTCCACATGGGCCAGTCCTTCAACTGAAAATCCACATCCTCCCTGCCCCCAGCAGGACATAGCACTGCCTTCTCAGCTGGTTCAGCCCTGTCCTGAACCTGGTTGAAGACAGGAACCATCCGGTCCCCTCGGGAAAGAGACAGGATCCTGCGGCTGTGGAGCAGCCGCTTCTCCACGTCACTCATAGCAGGCGCTGGGTGACATGCAGGTTCCACTCCACCAGTCGGGTCAGCCTGGGAATCTGCATTTCCAGCCCACTCTGGGCAGCTGCTGCCACCAAGGCTGCTACATGGACCACACTGATTGTGGCCCAGCCGTGCGTCCCCACAGCACTCACCACACCATGTGCCCATCGCACCCTGCCACAGCCCCAAAGACCCCAATACCAGCTCAGTCTGTGGCTGTAGCAGGACACAGACGATGCGTCAGCAAAGGGCTGTGACTGGGGGCCAATGCAAGGGCTAGGTTGATCCGGAGGCAGCTGCAGCCTGGCCCTTTGGATCTTGTGGATCTCCATCCAACATCTGTCTCAACTGGAAACCAGTCCCTCAAAGGAACGTTGTGCTCCGGCCCCAGCACCTGGTCTCTAAAAGGCTCTGTCCTGGTTGGAGATGTGGAGTCACCCAGGTTTACCTGGGACCTCGAGCCATCGCTGCAGTGGCCAGGGCATGAGCCCTGGGGTTACCACATGGTGTCCCTGTGGGCAGCTATCACCGCCTGCCCACGCTTGCCCTGGATGCAACATGCCTCTTAGCTGAGCACAGAAGTGTCATCTCATTTAATTTGTCATTGGAGCAGAGCTTATTCTTCATTCTCCCTGCTCTGAGCATAAATTGTCATCGTGTCAAAACCTGGCGTGTTACCAGGAAAGGCCACTTCAACACAGCTTGCTTTGGTACCGGGGATTGAACTCAGGTCCTCGCGCTTGCGAGGCAGGCGGCAGCACCACTGAGCTACATCCCCAGCCCTACAGCTTGGTTTTTAAACAAGCAAAATGTGTCACTGCCTCATTTAAGATGCAGTAATTTTTTCATACTTGCTATATAAAGACTTTAAAAACAAAGATAAGTACTACCTCCAATCTCCCTCCCTGAAAAACGACCTGACCTGCCCTCATTTTCTCTTGTTCCTCCTTCACCTTCACGCCGTACCTGGCCAGGTGTTAATGCTGTGGTTTTCTGGGATGTCTGTCTGGCCTGGAGCCTAGCGGGCAGCGGGGACCCCCAGAGGACAGCTGTGGCCGGAGAGGTGCTGCCAGGCTCCCCGTTGCTGCCCTTTCTGGGACAATCTTTTGTCTCACTGATACCCTTTGTGTCTCCATCAGGACCAGGGGCCCCAGGAGGTGAACTCGAGCGTGAGGACCTTGACCTCTCAGCCATGAACGTAAGTGTGGGAGGGACAGTGGCCACGTGTTGGAGCCTCAAGCGGAACGATGTCCCCACACCGACTCCTGGGCTGTTGTCGTGTCTAAGACACAGAGGGGTGGTCTTTGATTCTCTCTGGGCCCCTCTTTGCACATCATGTGTAGCTCAGAGCCCTGCGGTGATGGCTGTGAGCCCCAAGGGCTCCTGGCCTCCTGCCTTTCCTGTGGGACTCTTCAGGGCAGCCATGGCAAATGAGAGGCACAGTGGCGCCCCCTCCTGGTGGACAGAAGTACGGGACAGGAAAGAGCAGGGGCAGCTGACTTTCCGTAGATGCCTTAGGGATGTGACTCTTGTACCCATTCCACTGCTGGGTGCTGAGTCACAGTTTTAAAATAAGAGCAGGCCGGTGCCAGGTGCCAGGTCAGGAGCAGGAGAAGGGCTTGGGAAGGAAGCAGCAATGAGATGCTTCATTACACCCTGTGGCAGCATGGGTCTGGAGTGCCCCCGAGGCCCCTGTGCAGAAGGCTCCGTCGCTCCCTGTTGCATCCTTAATGCAAAGCTGTGGCTGTGGCATCTTTTGTGACCCTTCTTGTCATCTGGCATAAACACGAGAGCCCTTCCTTCATGACCTCCCGGCATCTTTATTTTTGGTGATTGCTTCACAAAAGTGGCTCCATTTTTATTCTAACAATTTTCCCAAATTGTTATGTGGACAGTTACATATGCTTTTTTAACTAACTAGGTGTATCATTTAAAAATAATACATTTGTTATTTAAAAATGCAAAAAATCTGCTGCGGGTTGTGGTGGTGCACAGCCGGCACCTGGGAGGCTGAGGCAGGAGGATCAATGAGTTGGAGGCCAGCCTGGGCTACATAGTGAGACCCTGTGTTTAAAAAATGCAAAGAACTGAGCAAGAGGTGGGTCCTCTCCTGGGCTGGAGCTCCATCCCTTAGATCCAGCGTCCGTGTCCTGAGACAGCCACTGCGACCTGTTTCTCAAACACCAACCAGAAATGCTCCACACCCCGCCTGGGGTTGGGCACAGTCTTGCCCCGTAGTTGTAGAAATCACCTTGGGTGAGGATCAAGGCGAACTCTTCTTCCACGTACCGGACCTGTCCTTTCCTGCCCGGTGACCCAGCTGGAGGCGCCGCGGTTCTGGGGTGCACCCAGAGGCCTCACATGGGCCGGGGTCTCCTGTGGTCCACACGCCCTCTCATCCAGGCCGAGCTCTGGAGCCGGCGCCTGAGTCCCTCCCGCTCAGCAGAGCCCCTTCCTGTCCGCAGGCCTCGGAGGATGGGGACCTGCGCTGCCGCACCTGCCACCAGTGCTTCAGCTCACAGCACAACAAGAGGGAGCACCTGCTTGGCAGGCAGCACCTGCACAACCTCACAGGTGACCCTGCCTCACAGGGGACCCAGACTCGGGCGGCAAACACCACCGCCACCATTCCTCTCCCTGGGCACGTTCCCCAGCAGCACTGCTGCGGGGCCCCAGTCCCAGCTTCTATCTAAGCGAAGCCCCAGGACTTGGGACTGAACCCAGTGACCCTCATCCAGTTGGGAGGGGTGGGCCTTCCTGGGAGCACTGCATCGATTGGCTCCTTTTCAGTTTTATCTTTTGATTGACACAGAGTGAATGTGGCTGTTTCCGGTGCGATGCCCTGTTTCTGTACATGTGCACGTGTGTGAAGATCCCCTAAGCCATATCCATTTCCTTAGGCAAGCATTGCTTCTCTGTGGGCAGAACATGGGGAATCCTCTCCTCTAACCATTGGGGCATGTACCACCTGTGGGGTTTTTTGTGTTTTTCTGGTACCAGGGATCGGACTCGAGACCTTGTGCTTAGGAGGCAGGTGCAGTGTCACCGAGCTAAATCCCCAGCCCTTCTGTGGTTATTGACTGCACCCTTCTGTGCTGCGGCAACCACTGCTTACTCCTGTTCTCTGCAGTGACTTTGTACCTGTGACCAAGTTCTCCCTGCCCCTGCCCCTCCCAGCCCCCAGTAACCACTGATCTCCTCTACTTCTGTGACATCAGTGTGCCGCTGAATTACCAGAGCCACCCCTGGGCCTTGGCTCCTCTCGGGGCCCTTGCTGATGTTGCTCCAGGGCACTGGCCCCCACGATCTCCCCAGCACGTGCCCAGCCACGCCCCACTTGGGTGCGGCATTCTCTCCATGCATAGGCATGGCTTTGCTTAACTGTCCCCGGCCCCTGTGCAGTCAGCCTGCCCTTGGCTCCCTCCTCCCTCTGCCTTAGTGATCCTTCCACCCACTTCTGATGTCCTTCTTAGCTCACTCACTTCTATTGTCTCTGTCATCTCCCACCAGAAGTTAAGTCCTGGAGTTTGGGATGTTTTTGTCTGTTTAGTTCACTGTGGAGGACCCTGCTGGAGTCCTGCCCAGCACTCACAGCAGGCCCTCAGTGAGTTGGACGGATGGATGGATGGGCGGATTGATAGATGAGTGAATGGGTAGATGGGTTGATGGATGGGTCGGTAGATGGGTGGATGGTTGGATGGACGGATGGATGGGTGGGTGGACGAGTAGATGGATGGGCGGATGTGTTTGACCAGTTCCCTGAGCACTTATTCTAACTTCCAGTCCCTGAACCAGGTCAGCTTTTCATCACAGTGACAAACTCCTGAGACAAACCAAGTTGGAGAAGAAAAGATTTGTTTTGGCTCACGGTTTGAGAGGATCGTGTCCACGGCTCCATTGCTGTGGGCTTGAGGTGAAGCAGAGCATCATGGTGGAAGGGCGTGGTGGAGCTGCTCACCTCGTGGCAGCCGGGAAGCCAGCTTCTTAGCCATGGAGCCACCTTCAGGAAGCCACCCTGCCGCTCCGTCCCCAGACCTGATGCCTGGTGTGCATGTCCTCTGCCCCCAGCAGAGGCTGGCACTCTGCCCCTGGAGGTCTGCGCTTTGCCAGAGATGTCTTTGTTTTTTAGGGGAATTTGAGAAAGACTCCGCCAAGTACTTAAGGCACCTGGAACCTCCACAGGAAGAGGAAGGCCGAATGCACAAAACCGAGTCAGAGGAGGAAGCCGAGGGCCCCGGTGCGATTGGACCTGGGGCCCTGGCTCCAGGGGAGACTTTTGCTTCCCTGGACCTGAGCTTCTGGCAGGAGTTTTTCTGGAAACTACTGAAAGGTGAGTGGTGGGGTCCTCCGCTCTGGGTCCCCGTGGAACCCAGGGTTACAGGGTCCTGGCGGGAGCCCTGCTTCATAGGTCAGCGTTCAGGGGGAGCAAGTGAGGGTGAGGAGAGCAGGGAAGAACGGGAGGAGTAACACCCAGGGCTGGGCGGGCTGTGGGCGCCAGCGTGCGCGAGGCTCCTC